TTTAAAAAAAAAAAAAAAAGGTGGAGAGAAGAGAGGGAAAGTCCAACTGATGCCTCCAGCCTGTGCACACGGGAGTTTTCCGAGTCCCTACTTGTGGGGCAAGTTAAGAATTCAGTCTATCTTTGCCTGTGAGCTATGTAGCTGTGTGTGTGTGCATGCGTGTGTGTATCAGGCATAGCGTATCCATTTATCCTGAAACGAGAAAGAGGACGTGAAGAACTGGCTTCTGCGCAGCAGGGGCTGGAAACTCCGGCAGGATTTCCACCTTCATTTTGCAGCAGAAGCCCTTCCTTTCCAGGAAGCTTAACTTGTAGTCTTAAAGTCTTGCACTGATTCTGTGAGCCGTGATTGAGAGTGACCCTTCCTTAGAGTCATCTGGTTGCGAACATTAATCACATAGGCCCAAGACCTGCGCAGCTACATGTAGACCAGGGTTTGACGGATCCTGGACGTAACCTGCCTGACTTCCCCCGGGCTTATGTTTGTCCTGTGTCGCATCCTGAGAGCACCTGGTCTTCCTTTCCTTCGAAGGCCCCCGCCCTGTGCTTTGGTGACCTGACACTTGTCTGTACACAGCCGCCTCCTGGACTGGAAGACACACACCGTGACACATCCACAGGCTGCACAGATGAGTGCAGACCCGGCCACAGGGTTTCTGCAGTGGTTCCCTGGCTACACAAACGCAATGCTCCAAAAGCTGGACGGCAGCGAATTGCATTTTAGGATTTAGGAACACACTACACGTGCAGTGGACCGCGTGGTTGTCAGAGAGTTTCAGGTATGATAGGGAATAATGTCCCGGTGTTCAGTGCCTGGAGGTGGTCATGGGAGAACAAGGCTGGGTTGCAAGGACTGGAAGAATTAGGGGGCCAGGCTGCCACCAAATCGAGGGAGAGAGCCAGGTGTGGTGACACAGGCTTACAATCCTAGCACTCGAGAGGCTGAGGCAGGAGGATTGCCACAAGTTCAAGGCTAGCCTGGGTAACATGGCCACACCCTATCTCAAAACAAACAAAAGAGGCATAAAAATCAGAGGAAGAAGAGAGAGCCAGATGAGAGTATCTGGGAAACTGCCCAGGAGGAGAGGGTGCGAGGTGCGAGAGGGAGACAGAGCCCCTGGGTGGCTGCTGTCTGTCATGCAGGTTACAGGAAGGACCACAGCTGTGTCCCTGGCACTATGGTGGGGGAGGGGACCAAAGTGCTTCAGGGACTCATCCAGGCAGAAGTAAAGTTGGATTTGATTCCCTCTTGGCCTACAAAATTCAATGGGTCATCCTCTGGGTCGCAGAGACCCCTATCTTGAGAATAAGGGGTTGCAATCACCTTTCCTAGGAAACAAGGAATCTGAGGCCTGGAGCCTCTAGGTCCCTCACTTGCACAATGCCTGGTCATTATCTGTATGCACCCGGGCATGGTGATGCATAGCTGTAATCCCAGCACTCTGGAAGGCTGAGGCAGGAGAATCGCACATTCAAGTCCAGCCTGGGCTATTTAGCAAGTTATCCAGCCACTGTTATAAAAAATAGAAAGGACTGGGGATGTAATTCAGTGTGAAGGCCATGCATTCAATCTCCAGTAATGGAAAAAAAAATGATATCACCTAGTGAAGCCAAGGCCATCACAGTTTGTGCAGGGACACTGCAATATCTGAAAAATGAAGAAATGCCCAGTGACACATTTTCAGAACTTATCACTGCCATTAAACAATGCGTGACTGTCCTTTCCTACAGCCACCCTAGGAGACTAATGGAGCATACAGCACCTATTACTTTTTTTTGATAAAGAAAAATGTTTTGGAAATTGATTCAGCTTCTCATTTTTAAGTAAGTTTTTTTGAGGGGTGAGAAGAGCTGAGACAAGGTCTCAAAATATAGTTCAGGCTGGCCTCCAATTTGCAGTGATCCTCCTGCCTCAGCCTCCTGAGCCTTGGGATCACAGGCGTGGACCACCACACTGGGCTTTTTTTTTTTTTTTTAGCTTAGCAAGTACATAAACAGAAGTTCTTTGATATTTGTAAAAACACTGTTAGGTTTCTGACGTATACATCATTTCCATGTATCTGTTTATCAAATGCAAGTGACTAGGTTACCCACAGAAACACTGACAATTGCTGATTTGAATCACGATCTAGTATCAGGAGTGTTGGAGATAGTTTCTATCAAAGAAATGGTAATCCGATGTTTAAATTTCTCTCCAGTCTACTCTCAGGCTAAACGACATTTGTTTAGTTTTTATTTTCCCACTAAGAGCCATTTTTGTTTGTTTGTTTGTAGTATTCGTGCTTCCAAGAGCTTGCAGGGCTGGGGCAAGGCTCCTCAAAAGACTGCACACGCTGTGCATCAGGTGTAATGCAGGACACAGAAACCCAGGAGCCTGGCGCACAACAGCTGTCCAGAGTGAAATGCAAGTGTGAGCAACGGAGATCGGAAGGGTCCAGTCCAAGGTGTGAAGCCCGCAGCGATGTCCTGTGACGGGTCTGCATGAGGAGGCGGAAGGGTCTGGGACAGAAGACGGAGGGGCCTGGCCTGGAGGTTGAAGGGTCAGCTCTCTGGAAGCTAAAGGCTAGTGCTGCACCAAAGACTGCACCAAAAGCCAGGGGACAAAGTCAAGGAAAGAACCAGAGCAAGAACCAAAGAGAACAGCCAAAGCGCCTACAAGGGAAAGCAGCTGAAATCCTGCCCTCAGTGTCCTTTTACATCATTCCAAGAACAGTGCTCCTTAAAGTGAGTCTTCCTGCCCAGAACCATGCGGACCCAATTCAGCCATCCATTCCCACCTCACGCTGACAATTAATCAATTAACCACCACATTTGTTTTTTGAGACAAGGTCTCACTATGTAGTTCAGGGTGGCCTTGAACTTACTATGTAGGCCGTTCTGGGTTCAAACTCATGGTGATCTTCCTGCCTCAGCCTCCCAAATGTTGATATTATAGGAGTGCACCACTGACCTGGCTTGTTTTAATATATTAAAAGAATAATGTCTTCCCATAGGCTCTACATCACCACAGCAGTTACCCAGGAAGACTTTAATTTCCTCCTAGATCTCTGGATAGGAAACACTTTTTAATTGTTGTCATGGTGGAGTAATAGAAATGATAACTAATTAAAGGGAAGAGTGAGATCAGTCATGCAGAGATTGAAGTAGAAAAGTAGACACCAATATCTTGTTTGGGAGCTTTAATTGTTTTTGATGGAACAAGTGGGTAAACATAGTCAACCCTACGTATAGTATATTGTTGTATGGTTTGTTTTGTTTCTTGGTACCAAGGACTGAACTCAGGACCTTGCACTTTCGAGGCCCACTCTCAACCCCTTGCCCACCTCGGCCCTGCGGGCCAGGAGAGATGGGCAGGGCGGCTGGGTGGCCGCTGTGCCCACCAGGGCTTTGCCATGAAGCGCACTGGACACTCAGCTGTGCCCCCTGGAAGTGATGGCTTCGGCAAGAAGAGTGGGTGGGTCTGGATTCTGCTCTGGGGGGGAACGGTGGGCAGGGGCGCTGGACGGGCTGCTAGGGATGACACCAGAGCCCGGGGCCGTGGCTGGCTTTGTGATCTGTGCCCAGGGGAGGGTGACCCGGCTCATCTCTAACGGCATCACCACGATGTGTTTAGCTGCTATAACAAAATATTGGGTGGCTCAGGCACACAGGAATTGATTTCTCATACTGCAAGAGGCCGGGAAGGCTAAGATTAAGGACACGTTCGGATCACAGCAGATGTGTTTTCCAAAAAAGTTCTAAAGGCTATCAGTAGCTGTTGAGGTATATGTGGAGTTGGTTTGTTTTGTTGAGACAGGGTTTCGCTATGCAGTTCAGGTTGATCTTGAAGTCACTGTGTAGCCCAGGTTGGCCTCAGCGATCCTCCTGTCTCAGCCTCCCGAGTGCTGGGATTATAGGTGTACACCACCATGCATGGTCATATTTGGAATTTTAGGAGTGAAATAATGGAAATATTAATGTACTTTGGGCAAAGGAAAAGTGAACAAGCTATTTACTACAGAATTTCTCAGAGCCTTTAATCAGTTATGTATAGTGAACATCCCTTGTATACACCTGTGTTCAAGGAATCTGTTTTCCTGGACCGTCTGTAGAGGGGCTGGTGTCTTATGATCTAGGTTCATAGAGGTTATTTACTCATGGGGTTTCTAAAGTCCCATCTTTGTTGTGGACATGACTATAACATGGTGTGATAAATATCGGCCCATGGTGTCTAAATGTCTGGTTTCTAGAAGTTTCCATGGCGACTTCGCCAAGCGCCCACCTGGGCTTTGTGGTGACCCTGCAGTGAGAGAACTTCTTCACTCATGATTACTCTGTCTCAAATTCCTCATTCCGCTTCAGACTTCTTTCACCTCAACATCAACTCCACACCCTTGCTGGTACCAGAGAGATGGCCCTGAGGCAGCCACTCCTGATTCTGCGCAGGACTTTGGGCACAGGGAGCCACGCTCAGAGTTGTAGGATCATAGGAAGTGTTTGAAGCCAAGGCCCCAGATGGCAGCTCGGGGCCAATCCTGAGAGCAGGAGTTAGTATGGCAGCAGTCCCCAGCTCGCTCTGGAGAGCCCTCCTGCACATCTGTGTACAGCGTTTGGGAAAGCTCACAAGACCTAGTAAGAATGTGTTTCATTGTACTGTACCCATTTGCTTTGCTGAGGAACCTGGATCAGCCCCATGTGAGTTTCTGTGGCTAGGGTTCAGATGGTCAGATCTCTCTGGTTTGTATCTCCGAGCACAGCAGCTAACAGCGGTCGGGAAAGAAGTCACCCTGCACAGGGCCACTTGGATGTGGAATCACTCTGCACAGTGCCTCGGAGCTTTTTCACTGAACTCTGACAGGAGTTCTTTGTTACCCACAGAAAGGACTGAAGTGATAACATCTGGTATATCTCCACTCAAAGAATACAGGGTATTATAGTCTAGAACTAAAATGTCCCCTAAAACCTGTCTTATGACAGGCGTGGTCACTAGTTCACTAGTTGTGTGTGTGTGTGTGTGTGTGTGTGTGTGTGTGTGTGTGTGTGAACCTAGGGCCTTTGCACTGAACTACATCCCTAGCCCCGCCCTCCCCCTTTTAAAATTTTGAGACAGGATTTTATTAAGTTGCCCAGGCAGGACAGGAGTTGGTGAGCCTCCTGCCTCAGCCTCCCAGAGGGCTAGGATTACAGCACGTGCCACCATGCCAGGCTTGTCTGCTACTTTTCTTTGGCTATATGTAGTAACCTTATCCATCTATACATTGTTTCAAAATGTTACTAACCATAATACTTGAATAGTTTAAGTTATTACTTTGTAATTACCATCTTTGTTTATATACCATCCCACTAGGTTTATATATTCAAATTAATGTGTTTTAATATCTTGGGTAGCTCGGGTTTTAGGTGTGCACCACTGTACCCGGCTGCCCTATGTGTACTGTAGGGGTCACAGGTGGCTGGTCGTCCGGTGTCCAAGTCCCCTTATAAATCCCTTCGTCATTCTGTATGGATGACAGTGAGAAAGGAGGGCTGAAAGGCTCTTGTAAGTAGCTCCTTTCCTCTGGTTTCCTTGAAATAATAGTTGGGTATAAAGTTAGCTGTGATAAAGCAGTTCTTTTTCCATTATCATTTATTTAAACAAACGGGCTGCATAGGGGCATTTGGCAAGAAAGTGTCAGAAAAGCAGCCAGAGACTTCCAGAACAGTCTGACTGGCATCTGCCCACCTCACAGGTCTTAAATAGGTGCCCCTCGTGGCTCCAGCCGCATGCCCCCTGGCTGGGGAAGGCAGTGGTGGAAGATGGACAGCAGGAAGCATGGTGCAGATGTCAGGAAGGCCTTGGCACTGAGAGATCAAAAAGTGAGTGGTCAGCGTTAGTGCAAGAGCAAGGTCAAGGCAGAGAGAGACACTCAAAAGGGGTGGTGATAATTTTAGAGGAGGATGAGGCAGCCTGGCTTTACAGGGATTGTGCAAGGCCGAACATGCCCTGAGCCTGAAGTCTTTGAACCAACAGATAAAATACAGTGCGCGCGTTCTAATTCATCTGAATAGTGTGTGCATTTTAATGAAGCTTGGTGAAGTCAGGAGTGGTGGCACACACCTGTAATCCCAGCACTCGGGAGGCTGAGGCAGGAGGATCGCCGTGAGTTTGAGAACAGCCTGGGCTACCCGGTGAGTTCTAGGTCAGTCTCAACTACGTAGTGAGACCCTGTCTCAAAATACAAAACAAAACAAAAGCCTGGCCTATCTTTGGAAGGACACTTAGGAAACTCCTTCCATGCACTGTTTTCAGGGAGACCAGCTGTCGAATGGGACAGAGGTGGGAATAGCACTGTTTCAAAAAACTTAAACTGGAAAAAAAAAAAAGATCAAAATACATGTGTGTTAAAAAGAGAATGAACTGGAACAAGTGTTTCCGGAGCACAGTCTTCACAGGATGGTCCAGCAGAAAAGCAGTAAACCCTTATGGAATTTCTTTAAAAACTAGCTTTTTGAGGTACAACTGAGATACAGTAAGTTAAATCCACTTAAAGTACACAATTTAGCGAGGTGTGGTGATCACGGCACTTGGAAAGTTGAGGCAGGAGGATTGACACAAGTTTGAGGCCAGCCTGTGCTATAGAAGGGGACCCTGTCTCAAAAAACCAATAGGTATGGGCCGGGGATTTAGCTCAGTGGTTTTGCAACCTGCCTCACAAGTGCAAGGTCCCGAGTTCAATCCCAGGTACCAAAAAAAAAAAAATCAATTTAAAAAACCAATAGATAGATAGACAGACAGATGAGAAATAAAAAGAAAGCATACAATGTGGTAAGTTTTGCATGCTTGGAGTTCTGACCAACCATCACACAGACAAGGTAATAACATATTCATCACCCTAGATAGTTCCTTTGGGCCTGTGCAATCTCTACCTCCTTCCTTTCTCTTCCACCCCTCATCCCCAGGTAACCCCAGCGTAGATCTACATTTTATTTGGATTTTTTAAATGTTTATATACATGGAATGATTTAGGATTTGTTGGTTCCTGCACAGAACTGGGGATGGAATCCAGGGCATGCTGAGCTACTTTCCTAGCCCTTTTTACTTTGAGACAAGGTCTTGCTAATTGGCCAGGCTGGGCTGAAACTCATGATCCTCCTGCCTCAGCCTCCTGAGTAGCTGGATGTACTCTTTTATCTGGTTTCTTTTACTCAGCCAAATTCTTCTTGAGGCCCACCCGTGTCCGTGTATCAATAGCTTGCTCCTTTTGATTGTTGTATAGTGTTTCATTTTATAGATAAACCACTTGAGAACATAATGAGGAGAAGCATCACAAGGTAAGTAAATTTATATTTAAAAAATTTTTTTGGAGACACGGTCTCACTCTGTAGTTCAGGGTGGCCTGGAACTCACTGTGTAGTCCAGGCTGGCCTCAAAATGACGGTGATCCTGCTGCCTCAGCCTCCCAAATGCCAGTACTATAGGATGCACCAACAAGCTGGCTCCAAGTTTTTTAAAGTGGCTGCATTATTTTACATTTTTCCCAGCAAAGTATGAGACTTCTAGCTGCTCTGCATCTTCGCCCACACTTGGTGTGGCCTTCCTAATTTTCAGCTTTCTCCCATGTGAACTGTGGTCTTTCACTGCGTCCTCCTTAGTGACTAATAGAAATAAGCATTTTTTCATGTGTTTGTTTATTGTTTACTTATGGTCTTTGGTGATCTGTCTCTTCAAATTTTTTGAGCATTAAAAAAAAGGTGTGTTTATTTTTGTTCATGTTGAGGGTTTAAAAAACTTTTTTGTTTTGGGTGGGGGATTTAGTTCAGTGGTTCCGCCACCTGCCTCGCAAGTGCAAGGACCTGAGTTTGGTCCCTAGTACCAAAAAATTTTTTTTTAAATTTTAATGTAATACATGTAGATATTAA